GGATTCGAACCCGCCACCCTAGGTGTACGTGGCTGGCGCCTTAGCCGGTTGAGCTATAGGCGCCGAGCCTTCTTTCCTTTTTTTTTTTTGGAGACAGTTTTACTATGTAGCCCTTGGTAGAGTGCTGTCACATCACAGCTCACAGCAACCTCAAACTCTTGGGCTTAAGCGATTCTCTGGCCTCACCCTCCTGAGTAGCTGGGACTATAGGAGCCCACCACAACACCTGGCTACTTTTCTGTTGTAGTTGTTCAGCAGGCCCCGGCCAGATTCGAACCCACCAGCCCTGGAACATGTAGCCGGCGCCCTAACCACTGAGCTACCGGCACCTTGCCACAGCAAAAGTTTTTATGTTCCAGTTGTTTTGTATAAATTTCTCAGCTTGTGAGGACAAGGCTACCATTTTACACATTTCCCCAGAGGCAATCGCAGTGTTTAACAAATACTTCATTTATTCCATGAATATGATATCCAGAGATTGAGTCTCTTAGACAGTGAAACGCCTATGGTCTAAATTCTAAAGTGTAAGAGAGAGCAGTAATAGGCCACTGTGAACCTATAACACCAAGAATTAAAGTGTCAACATGTACACAGAAACAGCAGGGGACTTGGAGCCACAGGAGCCGTCAGGGCCACAGACTCTGGGCCTGTGAACCGACCCCGAGCTCGGTCTTCACAGGTTTCCCAGGTCGGTGAGCAAAGCTGTTCCCGGCGCACAGCGGGCAAATTCCGCTGGTTCGTTCCTTTGCTCCCACAGTTACACTTCCATGGACATTTTACCTTGCGTCGGTGGACACTCCAGGCAGGAGTGAATGGACTGGCCTGTCCTCCTGCCCGTTCCTTTCCTCTCTCCAACTGGCTTTCACCAGCATCTTCCCTCCGTGTCCGTGGTCTCGGGTCTCGCTCTCCGCCCACCCGGCCCCGCAGTCCACCTCCCCGGGCTCGCCGGGCAGCCTGGCCAGGCCGGAATCCACCTGCGGTCCAGCGCCCTCCCCTCCCCCTCCTCCCCCCCCCCCCCTCTCCCGCCTCCTCCTCCCCCCTCCCCTCCCCTCCCTCTCCCCCCTCCGTGCCCCGAGCCCGCCCCTGCGCGCCGCGGCCCCGCCCGGGCGGGGAGGGGGAGGGGCGGGGAGGGGCGGGGCTGCCAGGTGAGGCGCGGTCACCCTGGGCTCTCACTTCCGCCCAGGTGAGCAAGGCGGACGCCGAGCGCCCCCGGCCCGCGCTCCCGCCGTGCCTGCACCGGACCAGGTAAAGCGCGCTGCGCCCCGGGAGCCCTCGCCGGCCCCCGCCCGCCCTCCCGGCCGGCAGGGGTGGGGCCGGGGGCCAGGCCGGTTCCAGGGTCCCGGGCGGAGGGCACGGGCGCCCGCGGGGCCGCGGAGGCGGGCGAGGGCGTCCTCTTCCTGCCTCTGGCCAGGGCGACCCCGCCGTGGCCCCGCCCGGCCCCGCAGGCCTTCCCGGCCTCCAGTCTCGGCCGGCTGGGGTTCGGGAGCGGCACGGGTCAGATTTTGCACCCCGGTCGCTGCCCACGCTTCTGCCCCGTAGGTGCCGGAGTCTTTCCCTCTGCCGGTGAGCGTGGGACGAGTGGACAGGTGGTGCCTCCCTTCGGGAGCCCGAGAAGGAGCGGGTGCTGGGACCTGGGCGGAGGGGGTGACCCGGGCCGACCGGCTCCGGCGCCTGGTGGTCACGTGGCCGAGGTTCCCAAGCCTGCGGTCAGCTCGCTTGGCAGAGGGGGAGGACCTCCACCCTCGGGGAAAATGCCAGGACTCCTGCTTCAGGTCAAGCTCGGAAAGGCGTTTCCAGATCATCCCCACCCTCCAGAACGCACCCCAGCCCTGCGGCACACTGGCCTGGGGCGTTCACTGGGCCCTTTGTCAGGTGACGCCTGTGGTTTCTTGGTTGTCTCTGAGATTGAGAGGGCGCTTCTTTCGGGGCCTTATTTCTCCAGGTGTTTCTCTGCTGTGTTTTTGGTCAGATGGTTTGTAGGTCCCTAATAAGCGCTTCTTAAATGAATGAAGAAAACTTCTGGAGACCTAGAAGAAAAACCTCAGTTTTACCAAGGACGACAGTACCACATTCTAGGCAAATCCCGTTAGCTGCGGGTCCCCGGACACAGCTGTAATTTCCGTGTGTGTGGCTGGCTAGTGGAGTCCCACAGCCTCTCCACCGCTCAGCCTGAGAAGCTGCTGCAGATGCCAGATGGGTCTCGTCTGCCTCACAGATGGGCCACTGCGAGATGTTAACCAGGCCGGCATAGTGGCTCATACCTGTAATCTCAAGACTTTGTGAGGCTGAGGTAGGAGGAATGCTTAAAGCCAGAAGTTTGGGACCAGTCTAGGCACCATAGCAAGACCCCCATCTCTACAAAAAAATTATAAGACTAGGCAGGTGTAGTGGCACAATGCTTGTTAAGTCCCAGCTTTGGGGAGGCTGAGACCGGAGCATCACTGAAGCCCAAGAGTTCAAAGTTAAAGTGAGCTGTGTTTGTGCCACTGCACTCCAGCCTGAGTGACAGCAAGACCCTATTTCCAGAAAAAGAAAAGTTGGCCGGAAAAGTTGGCTTGTAACTGTAAACCTAGTACTCTGGGAGGCTGGGGCCTGTGGATTGTTTGAGCTCAGGGGTTTGAGACCAGCCTGAGCATGAGTGAGTCTGTCTCTAATAAAAGAAGAAAAACTGAGGAACAGGATCACTTGACCCCCAAGAGTTTGAGGTTGCTGTGAGCTATGATGATACCACAGAACTCTACCCAGGGTGACAAAGTGAAACTGTCTCAAAAAAAGAAAAAAGTTATCAGAAAAAAGGAAACTATATCTTCAAGTATGTTGAATTTATTGACTGGGCACAGTGGCCCACACCTGTAATCCTAGCACTCTGGGAGGCTGAGGCAGGTAGATGGCTTGAGCTCAGGAGTTTGAGACCAACCTGAGCAAGAGTGAGACCCTGTCTCTACTGAAAATAGAAAAACTACCGTGTTTCCCCCAAAATAAGACCTATTCAAAAAATAAGCCCTAGCAGGGTTTCTATGCATTTGTTAAATATAAGCCCTACCCTGATAATAAGACCTAGTGATGGGCGTGGCTATGCAGCGTATCTCTCCATGCTATGCATTTTGGCATGGAGGATAAGACATCCCCTGAAAATAAGCCCTAGTGTGTCTTTTTGAGAAAAAATAAATATAAGACAGTGTCTTATTTTCGGGGAAACACGGTAGCTGTTCGTTGAGGCAGATGCCTATAGTCCCAGCTACTTGGGAGGCTGATCTCAGAAGTTTGAGTTTGCTGTGAGCTAGGCTGATGCCACAGCACTCTAGCCTGGGCAACAGAGTGATACTCTGCCTCAAAAAAAAAGAAGGAGGAGGAATGGGAAATGAGGATTATAACCCAAGATGCACAGATGGCAAGCCAAATCCTCATCTGAAGAGGGGAGGTTAAAGGGAAGCTTTCAATGGCAACAAAAGGAGACGTTCATTTAAACTGCTTGAACATAGAATTCATTGGTTTTGGAGATTGAAAGCCAAAGTCAAGTGTCAGTTCGTTGGTGGAGAAGCCATTATGGGGCAGGTGTTCTTTTGCAAGCATTTCGTCTGAACTGCTGCAGTCCTAAAGGATTTTTAGTGGGGTTACTTCAGAATGTCCTGGAGACAATTTTTACCCTCAGACAAGGAAGCATAAGCCTTCCCCCTTCGTGCTTTCCCAGCTTTAGTTAGTTTGGGTCTGACGGAAAATGATTTCATGCTGGTATCTGCGATTTTTACAGAGATAATTAGAACATTAATAAATATGAAAGTGGAAGGTACTTGTGGATAGAATTTATAAAATGAGTCCTGGAGAGAATTGCCCTAGCTAGTTTACATCCTATTAGGTGAAAAAACACCAACTTTTTTTGTTAATAAGTTAAACAACTTTCTTAACATAGTCAAGCAGTGATGAACATTCACATCTATTAAGTCACGTTATACAAAACGTAAACACCAATTGTTTTTCCTCTGCTCTTACCCATCACAAGCAACACGGAAGACTTCTGTAACCAGGTGTGCAGGGAGTTCTCCCTGCAGTGAGTATGCAGTAAATTCTGCAGTGGAAGCTTGCTGAGTATCTTCCATTTCAAATCCTCCAGGTAGTGTTGGCGTCAGATCCATCCCACAGGTTGAGGGCTCAGTCCCGAGACTCACTTCCATTGCCATCTCCAGCTCTGGGATGTGTTATGTGGGCTTTGGAGTGACTGGCTGTGAACTGGGGTTATCTAACCTCTGCCTGTGTCCTATTAAAGTGGTCGAGCAGCTCACAGAACTCAGGGAGACGTTTATGTGTATGGGCCTGTTATGAAGGTAATTACATGTTCGTGTAGGATGTACGTGAAGAGATGCACCTGTGTGTGCGGCTGTCCAGAAGTTCTCTGCCACCTCCTCTTATGGATTTTAGGGAGACTTCATTGGACAGACGGGATTGAAGAGTGGAGTAGAGACTCAGGAAGGCCTGCCCGGATTCTCACTGGCCTCTGTGTAGCATTCCTGCCTCCAGGGTATGGGCAAAACTCCTTTCTGAAATGGGAGTCTTCTGCCCAGCAATCAGACAGGTATGTCGTAGAATTTCTCCACGGCCAGCTCTGAGACAGAAAGACAAGGGAAGAGTACTGTCCTGCCTTGGGAAGATGAAAAGCGGGCGAAAAGAGAGCAGGAAAAGGTCATAGAGGTTGTTTTAAGACTGTGACAAGGGCTATGGGAGTTAAGAGCCAGAAACTGTGGATGAAAACTGATGTGTAGTAGACCCTTCATAGCTGACCACCTCCTTAGTTGACGTAACTTCCATAGACTGGACGTGGGCCACATGTATACATCTGCACAATAGGCCTGGGTTCCTTATGTTGACCCCGTCCCTGTGTTGACCAGTTTGTTACAGCTCCTTGGGTGATCAACTTACAGAGGCTGTACTGTATATATATTTCATATTATCACAAGGGTCACATAAAGTGGAGTTGCCATCAGAACAGTAGTTTTGTTTAAAGTTGTAGGCCAGGCACAGTGGCTCATGCCTCTAATCCTAGCACTCTGGAAGGCTGAGGCAGGTGGATGGCTTGAGCTCAGGAGTTTGAGACCAACCTGAGCAAGAGTTAGATCCTGTCTCTACTAAAAATAGAAAAACTAGCCAGGCATGGTAATGGATACCTATAGTCCCAGCAACTCAGGAGGCTGGGGCAGGAGGATCCCTTGAGTCCAGGAGTTTCAGGTTGCTGTGAGGTATGATGATGCCACAGCAGTCTACCCAGGGTGACAGATTGAGACTCTGTCTCAAAAAATAAATGAGTAGGTGGTGCCTGTGGCTCAAAGGAGTAGGGTGCCGGCTCCATATGCTGGAGGAGGCGGGTTCAAACCCAGCCCCAGCCAAAAACTAAAACTAAATAAATAAATAAAAATGAATAAAATTAAACTAAAGTTGTAACATGGTATTAGGCTTTTCTGTGTTGAATGATACCTTAAGTTCAAGGCACATACATGGCATTAATGTTTCTGTAACTATAAAAATAACATCTTCATTGTAGAGAAATTGGGGAGAATTTAAAAAAACTCCCAAGGCTCACAAACCTTGCTACCTACTATTGAGAGATAACCACTAATGATATTATGATGTATTTTCTTTCAGTTACGTTTTTATAGTTAAAAAGAAGTATTTATTTTCTCATAGCGAATCTGCATTGAGCACCTTGTAATTCTGAGACAGCGGCTCTGCATTTTCTAGTCCTTACAATTGCGTTTTTACTTAACCACGTTTGATAATTATCTTACACTGAATAACAAAGCAGTCTGAATTTACTTTGTTAAAGTTTAACAAAAAATACTTTAGGTTGGGGCAGCCAAAATGGGGTTCAGGTTGTTTATTTAAGACTTTGCTCACTTTTGATAAACAAATTTTAAGTTTTTGTTTTTGTGGGGTTTTTTTTTTTTTTTTTTTGGCCAGGGCTGGGTTTGAACCCACCACCTCTGGTATATAAGGCTGGTGCCCTACTCCTTGAGCCACAGGTGCCCCCAAATTTTAAGTTTTCTGGGACTACTTTAACATTTGCATGCCCATTGCTACTCTTGCACGGATTTGGATGCCTTTTTTAAAGCCTCGTTTTACATTCTGGTGCAAATGTGGGGAAATTTAGTGCCTGTCCATACCCTTCCTGTTAGTCTGGAGGATAGATTGATGCTGAAGAGGAAGCTGTGTACTTTTCTGTGTTTGCACAACTGCACAGACTGGAACTGTATTAG